TTCCCTTTCCTCTGCTGAGAAATCCCCCCAAACTTTCTCTCTTTTTGAGAAAACACAGGAAGAATATCTCCCAGCTCCGCAGTGTTTTCTCAGGGGTTTCTCCATACAAAGGAAATAATTTTTGAAACAGAAAATAAATCATCTGTGGAAAAAAAATAAGCTCCTGTTTCTCCCTGTTTTCAGTGATCTGAATAAGTCTCCACCTGAACTCTTTCAAATGTTTCAGGCAGGTGTGTTTAACACCTCCCAAGGGATGGTGCAGTACGAAGACCAGTCGGTTAACAGAAACTACACACAAAGCCATGCAGCCGGTGGAGCCGGAGCCCCACGTGGGGCAGGCCCAGGGGAGGAGGGCTCCAGGGGCTCTCCTGAGGACTGCGGGGTTCCACACGGTGCCTGGCTCCAGCAGAGCCTGGGGACAGCTCGGCAGGGCCGCGTCCCCTTCCCAAAGTTGGACCAGCTAGCGGTGGCGACTGCTGCATTTTTTGATTTATCTGTCCCGTTGTAATCAGCGCTCATTACAATCACTTAGAGCAACACTACAGGCCTCATTATGGACTAGGCACTCGCTGCCATTAGTCTTTAAGAAGGATAGTGCTCAATTTGCCTGGCAACATGCGAGGTCCTGACCTTGGAGCTATTAGGGAAAAGATTAGACTGCAGTGTGACCATGTGTGCAGACATGAGCAAACCAAATTAATTTCTGGCAAAGGGAGGCACCAGGCAAAGACCCCTCCATCCTGAGGACACCTGAGAACTTCTCTATTCCCCAAGGGAGATAAGCTAATGGCACGTTTAAAGGAGCCTGGTTCTGAAGGTGAAGCACATCCATGGTATTTAGAGAGATATTAATCCAGTTTCCCCACAAAGTATTTGCTTGGCTGATCAGATTAAGGGATCTAGCCTCCAACAGCACACCCCCACCACAGCAGGCCCCAAGAAATCTGTGATACTTCACAGCCTCAGACATATTGCACCATGTGTACCCAGCTGCTACAATAATTAGCTTATGAATGTATCAGCTGGTTCTGTGATTTTTATAAATAATAACTAACCTACAGAGCAGAAAGACTTTCATGAGCCTAATATTAGCAAGAAATTGCAAGGTGCGCCTAACTCTGTACTGTCATTGTGCTAAATGCCCTGTCTTCTCTCACATTGTGCAGGACTGGATCTCCCCCAATGCCATTTATAAATATTTATTTTTGCACCAGCAACAGCGATGTATTTGTGGCAGTTTTCTTCACAACAGCCATCATTCACTCACCCCCACACATACACACGCATACCCACTGTGTGCGTGTGTACACTTATCTGCATCAAATCTGTCCTTCCATTGCTCTTTTCCTATCCTTCCCTTTATTTATTCAAGCATTCTCTCGCCCATCCATTCAAGACCCTATTTATCCTGAATATTAGGTGATAGCTTTGGCTAATAAGTGAGAAAACACAGTGCTGCAGCTTACTCGCACATTCTTTATGATTGCAAGTAACCACCTTCCCCAGGCACAGATGAAAAGTCTGCATTGGCTTTAGAAAATTATTTATTTAAATAATCTTAGCACGCCATCCAAGAAAGTTTTGCAGTACCAGGCAAAAAAAAAAAAAAAAAAAAAGTGTAAATGTCAAATAAAACAGTGACAGATGACAGTATTCTCTATTGAATAGCACCGTTTCTTCGTGCATGTTCAATGAGAACTCATGAATTATTAATAGGCAAATCTCCTTTTTCTGTTAAAAATCTCAACTTGGGGTTTTTTTGGTTGTAATTTTTTTATTTTCTTTTATTTATTCCTTTGGGTCTGTGTATGTTACACAGAGATTTCCAGGAGAATTATTTCATTTAGGAAATGCTAACATACAGAAATTCTTGGAGCTACAGCCATTCACAGTGAATTTTCATCTACAGCTACATTTATTGGCATGAAGAAGGAAAAGCAAAGAAAGAGATGCTATCTCACCGCCTTTCCCCCTACTCATCCACAACATCTGAGCTCACTGCATTACAAATAAATCCAATTTCTGTGAACATATTCTGAAAATCTAACAAATAACACATCCTTCCCCAGGCCCCTGATACGCTGTGTTTCTGATCCTGCCTCCCCCGCACAACGCAAGTCTTGCTCCGCTGCACAAACAGCCCCCTTGACTGCCACAGAGTCACCAGGAGAGTTTGATACGTGCCAGTGTCAATACGGTGGAAGAATCCGGCCCTTAGTGTCAGCTTCTAAGGTTCTCAAATGGGAATGTCTTCCATTAAAAATAAGAGGAGGAAAAACAGCACAATTAAAGGATGCTTTTGGCTCTACAGTCAGGCACACCCAGTGCTTGTGGTTACAAGGAATTCTGCTCAGAACTTCCTTCATTTCACCCCAAAATTTCTAGAGGCATCGACAATACAGCCCAATTTAGCTTATTAAAGAGAGATGCAGAGAAGTGTTGGCCTCTATTTTTGTTGTTCTCATGAGACAAGATGAACATTTTCTAAGCATTTTATTTGATAAAACAAATAATATCATATTAATGTCCTATTTTTAACCTCTCTCTCTGTCTCCTAATCAAATACATTTCCACATAGCAAGCAAACAACAACAAAAATCTGCAGGAAGCCAGCCATTCCCATTGTGCTTTTATGCTGCTAGAGAAACAGTGTGCTTACTACACCAAAGCATTAGCCTTGGCGCACTCGAACCCCCTTGAGGGACAGCTATCTGGTGCAGCAATCCCAAGCCATATTCTCTGTCGCTTATCCCTGAGCCCTTTTTAGCAGCTTGACCCTTTCACTTCTGCCAGACTTACCCTGGTGGAGGGGAAGCTTCTCTGGCAGCCAGCAGTACCAGACTACAATAAGGTCAAGTTTTCCAGCACTCAATGAAGGTATGCACAAACATCCTGACCCCCAAAACTGCCTCCTGCAGATCTGCCAACTTGCCGTCAGCCAAGGACCAAATTTTTCATTGAAGCACAAGAAGGCACGTGGGAAGAGTTCAGGTTAAGTTATGCTGGGGCTAAAGGCCAGGG